CTGCTCAATTGCTATAAGCCTGATTTTTCGCGTCAATATGTGTTAATATATGTATACTGCTTCCATCATTTCACTCTGGAAACTGAAAATCGTCGTCATCCTTTAATATAAATATTATAAATATCTCAGACATAAAGCAAAACAATTGTAATGAAACTAAGTGAGTCTAAGACCGAATAATAATGAGTGTTAAATTCTATTATCATTATCATTTAAAACAAATCAAGATAGATATAGGGTTATATATACCATATATATATATAATTGATCAGGATGATAATACGAGTTGAATTCCGAGTGACCGTCTGTCCGTCCATCTGTCAGTGCAAGCGATAAACTCAGTTGGCACCCACAAAATGACATTAAGCGAAAACTTGTAAAATGCTACAGCTAAACTCCAAATCAAGACATAATATAGGAATTTGGTACAAGGAATGGCATTAGTGGGCACCTGTGGGCTTTTAAAAAAGTGGGCGTAGGGCGACCCAATTGGTCTAATGTACATATCTCACACCCATACAAAGCTATATCACCCAAAATTAGCTCGGAAAAAATATTTTCGGCATACACAGCCTCCGACAGTGTCAAAATGAGTGAGATCAGATAAAATCCACACCCACTCTCCATATAACAGTTATGTTGAAAACTAAAAATAACAATGGCTAAGTTCGGATGTAACATAACATTTTATAATCTCGTTTGAGATTTCTTTATATATTTTAATAATTAGAAGTATAAACTGTTGCCTCAGTTATTTAGACAATTTTTGATCACAAAGTGAAATACTTTAAAAACATTATTCACGCAAAATTTTACCCCGATACAATCATTGTTACTTGATTTGCATAGTGGAAAGAATCAGATGGAAGTTAAAATGGTGTTATATGGGAAATAGGCGTGGTTGTAATCCGATTTGTGTTATGTACCGAATTTGGTTGAAATCAGTTAAGCATATCCCAAGATATAGAATTACGAACGCAGTTCCTATAAAATCATTTCATACCATCCCAGAGATACATTTTAATGTCTCTGGCGAGTTTAGTACTTGGTTTATCGCGTATTTAGTAGTTTTTAACATTACCGTTATAATGGGAGTGGGCGGGGTTGTCACCCGGTTTCACCCATTTTCTACTATTACTGTCGATACTATGGTGTTAAAAAAATTGTTCTCAGGGTATTTTGTTATTATAGTTTTAGCGGTTTAGGAGATATGCTATTAAAATTATTAGGGGGCGGGACTACGCCTACTTTTAAAAAAAATTTTAAACTCCCTAATGTGATCCTGTATACCAAATAATAGTCTTGTATCTTATTGTGGAGCTTAGTTATGTCAATATATTTGTTTTGAATTAATCAGCGGATTTCAACTCGTCTCTTCATCCTGATGATATATAATATATACATAACCCCATATTTAACTCGATTAGTTTTAGGTGATACAACCGTTAGGTGAACAAAACTATTATACTCTGTAGCAACTTGTTGCGAGAGTATAAAAAAATACGTCAGACACATTAAATTGTACAAAAAGATGATATGAAAGGGCGTCATAGGAGCCGGTATCAAAATTGGAAAATGGGTGTGATACCGCCCAATTTTAGATAAATTCCTATATCCCAGAACCTGCTCGACCAATTTCGATCAAGATGGCTCACTTAAAGATCGTCGGAAAATTTCATTGAAATCGGTCTAGTCGTTTCGGGGCTTATAATATATTATAATACTCCTGTTTATTATTAAATATTTCATTATATCATCATTACTGTACTTAGGAAGCATTTCTCGTATGTTCATAAGTCCACTAAGACAGTCTAAGTTGCGTCAATGGGGATAGCATAAAAACCTTCTCCACGAAAAAGTACATATGCATACCAACTTTCATAATGATCGATCAGATAGTTTCTGAGTCTATCGATTTCATAATATACACATCCGTCTTTATATATACATATATAAAGATACCCAATTTATTAAATTTAGTCTCTTTGGTTGAGTTTATATCAGATATGTTCATGCATATATCTTATTTGAGTTAGCTAAGTTGATTTTAGCACCAATATCTCGGATATGAAGCAAACTATAGTAATGAGGCTAAGTGAGCGACCTATAACACTGGTGGTCAATGATCACAACCGTACGATAATTATCGTACATATGCGATAATTTCATGCCTACGTACGATGTACGATATAATATCATTATCGTACGCAGATTGTACGATAATTTTCATTATGATGCATTAAAAATGTATCTTATTTCTACCCTCGCAGACAATTGGGCGATTTTTTTTTATAGGAAAAAAGAGGAGAAGGCGCGAGCTCTTGGCTCTAACTGCTAGCAAATATTTCTTCCGTCTTTTTGCTCACAACGCCATCTACTGGTTCGTTCAACGAACAAATAATATCGGTATTGTGGTTTGATTTCGATTATGTTCATACTTCACAGACTTTGCATATCGAAAACTTTAATTCATATCATTTTCACTCTGTAGCTGTAAAGTGAAAAATTAGTTCTTTACGTGAAGATTCCGAAGAAATAAATAATACTAAACCAACTGATGTTGATTTGGACATTACACCTCCAAGAAAAATTGCAAAAATTAGCAATAATTAAAATAATTATAGTCATTCTTTTTGAAAGTACGATAATTTCGTTTCATGTACGATAATTCTACGCTACTGGTGCGATAATCGCCTCACTCCAAAATGTGAACACTGCTGGTGGTATCATTTTTGCGCACGAGTTATTCATACTTTATTTTGGTTGCCTTTATGCCGCAAAATACGAATATAAAATAGTTTTTAATTCAATCAAATTTTTCAAATCAATTTTAAATTCATCATATATGTATGTACAGTAAATAATTTAAGAAAAGATACCGATCATCCATTTAGGATTCATTGTATTGTATTGTTACGTAGAAGTTTCTCTTATTAACCCCCCATTATTGTCTCCAATCATGCTATCAGTATGCTGGCTGTGGTAACGCCTCTCAAATTCCATTATATCTTGATGAAAGCGTTCTCCTTGTCCTTGTTTGAATAAGCTCCCGTATTATCTTTAAATTTATCTAAATGAGAATGTAACATGTGCATCTTTAGAGACATTTTACAGCCCTATGGTGTCCAAGGAAACTATGCACTACTACCTTAAACCTGCTCAAGTCTTTTTTATACCCTGAACAGGGTATATTAAATTTGCCACGAAGTTTGTAACACCCAGAAGGAAACGTCGGAGACCCTATAAAATATATATATAAATGATCAGCATGATGAGCTGAGTTGATTTAGCCATGTCCGTCTGTCCGTCCGTCTGTATATATGCAAACTAGTCGCTCAGTTTTTAAGCTATCGATCTGAAATTTTGTACCTGCCCTTTTCTCACTAAGAATCTGTTCATTTGTCGGAACGGCCGATATCGGACACTATAGCTTATAGCTGCCATACAAACTGAACAATCGGAAGCAAGTCCTTGTATGGGAAACTTTTTTGTTTGACGTAATATCTTCACTGATATTTTAATGAAATTACGTGAACAATTTTTCTAAAAAATAATGTGGTTTAGCGCTGAAAATTAATGAAATTGGTCTAGACCTTGTTCCAAGCCTCTTATATCTAATATTGAATTATAATCCTTTGGTTGACGTTTACCTCATCAACCAAATATACATATATAAAATTTAGCCTATCCAGTTGAGTTTATGTCACATACATATACTCATTTGAGAATGATTTGAATATACGATGTTTGTTCAAAAAGTATTGCGAATTTTTTATTTCCTAAAAAATTTTCTTTCTTATTTAAATATCATTAATTTAGACTAAATTATTTTTAAAATATAGCATTTAGTTCGCGTCCACTAAACTTATAATTATTAAACACCTTCAAATGAGATGCATATATGTATGTACATATATGATATTAACTTTCTAAATTTCATTAAAATAACTCACATATTGGCCGATAATGTATAATGTCAGCCAGAAATTCGAAGATATTTCCGTTACGTATGTGGGGGCTAAGGGAAGAATTGACCCGATTCAATCCATTTTTGATATACAGACATTATCAGGAAAGGATCCTCTCTGAATTTCAATTATGTATCTCACACATTGACCGATATTTTCGGTAAAAAGTCAACTACAGGCACTGGGGTACACATACTCGGTACTTAGGGGATTGAACAGTTTTACTTCAAAGGCATTATTCGGGGAGCCACGCTCGTCATCCAATTTTGACCGCGGCGCTTAAGTCCTCTCATACCATCTCGGGGGTAAAATTTCATATCTCTGGAGTATCAAGTTATTGATTTATCGCGCTTTAAGTAGTTTTTAAAAATACATTTATATCTTTATATCAATTATTACAGCGTTGGAAGAAGTGCTTACGGAATTTGTTCTGAGTGAAATTTTTTATTTTAGCTTAAATGGTTTCGGAGATATGTACACAGGTACCCCTTGCTACTGCGATCCGTTATGCCTTCTATATCTTAGTTAGTTCTTAGTTATGGCAATTTATAGATTTTCCATTAATGGCGTTTTGTGGACGTGACAGTGGTCCGACCCATAAACCCATCTATGAATCGTCTTCACTTTTTTTCCAAAGGAACACGTGCACCAAGTTTCATTAAAATATTTCAATGTTTACTCAAGATATCACTTGCGCAGACAGACAGTTGGACAGACAGACAATCAGTCGGATTTCTCACACGTCTCATCATCCTGATCATTTATATATATAACCCTATATCTAACTCGGTTATTTTTAGGTGAACAAAACTATTATACTCTGTAGCAACATGTTGCAATAGTATAAAAATATATGTAGGCATAGTATATTTAATCAAATACGTAATATTCGATACACTGAAAGAAAAGTAGGGGGCATCTGGTTTCAAAGTTGATGCTGGTCCAGTTATGCGATTAATTTATTTAATTCAATTAAAAAAAGTAGACTACTCTCTATGTTTGTAATTTGTATATCGCTTATCATTTATTCAGCCTGTCATGTGGCTGCAGTGGGCACCCAGTGCAAATACACGCGTACACATTCATACGTCTATGGAGGAGGCATTTTTAGGGCAGTTGTGTACTCCAAGTTACGGTCAGCATAAAAATGTGAGTGTCGATTGGATTGAGTTCATACTAGAATTTGCGGCTCTGCACTACGTCCACTGTGATGAAAAGCCACGCCATGGGAGAAAGTGCAATTAAGCCGCAACTAAACTGAATGATTAGTCTGCCTTTGAGTGCGGTACACGCATATAGTTCGTCAGCGATAATCGTAAAACCACTCCTACAAAAATGTAGAATAACATTAAAGATTCAATATAGTGTGGAAATTCATTTTATCAAATATTTGTAATAAAGAAACAAACTCCAATCGATATGCGTTTGAAAATTGGACTGCAGTGCCATCGCTTTGAAATTTACGGTAAGCGGTGCGGGTAGTCAATAAGATATCTCAGTATGGCAATAGTGCACGCCGGCATATCTCTGCACGTTAGCGCCATAGTTACCTGCTTGAGTTGAATAAAATCCCAAGCCTAATGCTTGTATTCCTAATTAGGTCAGATGTGGCTAAGAATTTCCTACTGTGAGCTTAGGGTGGACACAGTTGGCATTTCAATTGCATTGTAAAAATTAAGTATAATATATTCTATTGATAAAAAAGGTGAAAATGAAAATTACGCGCTGTGCCAAGGCGCCCACTAAATTCAAATGTGATCCAGACTTGCATTTTCACATTCAGTTTGTCGCTTTCCCAATTTATGCTAACGATTATCAACTTATGAACATGAACGGGTAACTGTGTATTTGTAGGTGAAGTTGTTGGCTCAACTCCATCAATAAAATTCCATGCAGAACGTGGTCGAACAATCAGTAGCTTCGCGGTGACAGAGCGATAACGCAGTTTTAAAATTTGTGCTCTAAGTCTGCCTTAAATCTTACGGTTACTTATTAAAATTATTTAAAATATATTACTCTTTAAGTGCCTTATACGTATAAGTAAGTTGAAATGAAAATCCAAAACAATATGTTATCAAAATATGTAATACAAAACAAATATATTATGTGCAAATATTATACAAAACTGTGTACATGTGGTTTCATAGATCGACGCCATCTCCAATTCTAATAGAGATTTACGTACGTGTTGTACACTACTGACAGACATAAAATGATTCATTATAATGTGTTATAGTTTAAAATATGAACTTTTTCTATAATTTAATAAACTAAACTTCCTACCAAATTGTGCTAGAGGTAGAAAGACGCAAAAAGAAATGTTTCCAATATATTTCGTTAATGTAGCTTTAGTACTTTGTAAAATGTGTGGATAAAACCTATTAGGTGGCGGGGCTTCTCCCACTATGAACCTTTGCACCAAATATCAGTTTTGTAACTTAATTGGTGCCTAAGTTAAAGCATTATAATTTTTCACTGAATGACATTTTGAATTTCTGTAATACCAACATCCTTAGAGTGCCAAGAAATCCGTATACTACCGATTCGCTTTAGGTGTTACAAACATCTTACGGTTACAATACTACTTATATTATACTCTGTGCAAGTCTTGAAACCAAATATTCTAGTTCATTTAAATTTAAGTATGTTCTTTCCAATGAAATCCCCCTTCGTTATCGAAATTAGTACTGATTACGAAACTTGGGCTTATGACGTCAAAACTTCTCAGCAATATAACGAAACATAACGAAAAACCACTTCAATGTCCGTTGTAAATCAAAGCTATAAAATTCTTTTCTTCCAGTACCGTAATTTGGTTTACCATAATCTCGTTTCGAATGGTCAAAAAAAGCAACGATGTATTTGATTTAATTGTTGAAAGGGATTGAATAATATCAAGATTTTCTGATAGTTTGAACCTATGTACATCTTCAATATATATATGTTTAACTATTGTAAAATGTTGGCATTTTCTAAAAAGGTGAAGTCAGTAACTTAATTTCAGATAAATTTTTATAAAAAAGCAACATTGAAAAAGTTCTGAAAGGTCAGATAGGACAGTTAATTTTGATAATAATTATAATTATTTGTACATTATAACTTATCTCAAGGATTACTGAGACCTATCTGACCTATTTGTGTTATCAAACAGATTAAGCAGGAATATTGATTACAACTTTGTAATTTACAATTTGAAATTAGATTAATGTAATATAAAATTCAAAATCTAAATATCTACTCTGCAAGAATTTTTTTCAATCAATCATATTCAAATTGACCTCAAGTCTAATGCACGTGAATTTTTATATCAGGTTCAACGTTTTCGTCTTCATTTGGTAATAATTATTTCACGGTATTGAATAATTTATAGAATATAAATTAACGTAAACCTTAGTATATATAGTTGTGGCCTGGCATACAAGTATTAGTTGTTTACAAATCTTATCTCTTGTTTAAAGTTTTCAATTAGATATCTTGTATTGTTGAAACAGAGAACTTAAAACAACGAGAAGGTGCAAATTCAATTTTGTATGATGCTCGATTGGTTGTCTGAAAATTTGAGATCAAGGAGTTCACCATTTTCTGTAATATTTTCTGTTATTTAAAAGAAATGAGAATTTATAACAGCGTTCTCTGACAAATTACGTATCTCTCAACATAAAGAGAAAAATGAAATGAAATGAATGAGAAAACAAAAATACAAATGCCTCTTCACATATGCATGATTATTTTTTGCCATATAAACGATTTTTATGATGAAAAATTGATAAAATATGATTTTCTGGTTCAACCAGAGAACTTAAAAGAACGAGAAGGTGCAGGTTCGACAGCGAACAATTTGTAGGATTTTATCAAGGAGTTCACCTCACATGCACGAGAAACAAATAACATTTCTCGCTTTTATAACAGCGGTGCTGTACACATACGCTCTCTTAACATAACCAGAGAATGTTGAAGAGTAGAGAAGGAGCAAATGTTAGCAGTACTAAAATGTTAATTGCTAAGAAGGAACATCGAAAACGCGCAAGTTCGAAAATAAAATGTCACCACTGCTGTCAATTTACGCAACGAACTACACCACTCTATAAGTAAAATGTATATACATACATATGCGCAGATGTTCTTTGATATGCGCATAAACAAAAATTGAAATAATAAAAACGAAAGAAATTGACTTCTGACAGGAAAATTTAATAATCAGGGAAATAATATTAAAATAGAATTCAAATATCAATTCATAAAAAAGGGTTATAAAAATAAAAAAGGACTATATAATATATGATTGGATTTGAACTTAGGCAAAATATTTCACGTTGCAATAAAGAAGTCTGCTATACAAGCAGCACCACAGACAATATTCAAGCTTTTGAGTCTAATCTGTGGATTCAAACAGCTATTATTGTTTACTTGCTTCAAATGTTCATATGTCCATATGTGAATATTCTTGAAATTGCCTTCTTTCATTCGCATGTCCAAATATATTTGCATATATGTACACATATGTACATATGTATGTCCCTCAATATGTCTTTCGCAAAAAATCAAACATTCGCGCAAGTGACAAAAAAACGTAGACGCACCATCATCGGCCAATAATATTCAAGCGAACTCGCGGCTTATTTTCTAAGTATTTCATATTACAACGACAACAAATTCATTCATAAGGAACGTGCGTCTGCTTCAAAGCAAAGTGCGCTCGTTCATAACTCTGCGCCGCGCTATTTTTTCTGTGCGCCTGGTAAGCCACATTTGGTTTTCATATAGAATTCCTACGCATATTGAGTAAAACGAGAAAAATTAAATTTTACAATTTGACAGCCACCACTGAAAATCCTACCATCCCCCTCGCATTTGTATGTTGCCCACAATCTGCTTCCTCACAACATTTGATAAAAATCAGAAATTGAAGAATTTGTCTGATGTTCACTTCAAAAAGGAGAATTGGCAACATGACCTCTTAGCGAGTTTAAATAATATTTATATTTTTGCATATTATGCACTATTTATGGCATTAAATTATAAAATTTATATCAAATTGACATTCATATGAAATCATTAACTACTTCTATATATTCTAAGCACAGTCCATATAGTACTTTTATATGTTTACTTATTATCATTATTTCATAGTTTGTCGATTTAGCCCATTTTATCTAAATACGACGCTATGAAAATGCAGCCTAATCGGTAATCGCACTATTTCAAAAGAGCATAAGTCAATTTTCAACAGCAAAGCCCTGCAAAAAGGACAAACGAGACAACATAGCCGATCGACATTGTCGTAAAATTGTTGATTGAAACAAATTTTGTCAACTCCGCCACGATGCGCAAAATTCGGCGTCAATATGTATGCGAGCTCATATGTATATATGTATGTTTGTCGACAAAGTCGTCTTTTCGTTTTTTTCAACATAATGTCCGCGCGAACTCGCCGTTATTTTCTTGGCTTGCCACCATGCACAGAGGCGTGTCAAGTGAGGGCTCATAATATATTGATATGTTGCTTAATTTGTATTGAAAAATACTGATGCATTTATGAATTATTTTCGTAATATAATATATTATATATATATATATATACCAATAAATTCATACCTATAACCGTTTTCAAACTGAATTCGATAAATAAAATTCATATCTGAAATAATTATGTGGCGGTGCGCCCCAATCCCTCCTTGCCTGCGATCGTTCAACTCGCAAAAAGCAAAAAGCGTAGACAAAAGTCATTGCTTGTGCGGGGCAAGAAGAAGCAAGCATCAGCGTACGTGTATTTAAGAATGTATGTGTGATTATCACATTTGTGTAAATACGCATAATAAGGAAATATTCAATAAACCTAAACATATGAACATATTATATTTTCCTGATATATTTTAATTATCTCAGGAAGTAAAATATGCTATTAAAGAAATTGAATTATGATATGCTTAGACTCCAATTAATAAAATAAAAAAATTAAATAAAATTCGTTTTAGGATTCGAACGTATAGGCTCGTATTCGGATTGTGCTTAACCCCTTCCCGCTTACGACCTAAGCCACCACAAAAGTGGAAACGTGGCCGCTTAGCCACCGTTTTATTATTATCATTTGTTTAATAAGTATATTGCTTACGCAACGCACATACATAAGTTAGAAAACTAGCTTATTAAATGTTTATTTTATTATGAATTCTGGGGTTTTTACCGGTAATACATATTTTTAATTCAGAAGGCTTTTCATAATTATAAATTTGTCATTTCATAGAAATTGAAAACATAAATCTAAATAGGTATGCGCACCGATTTTTCATATAGGAATATTCGTTGTGTCTATTTATAGCATTTCGCATATTGTGTGGTGTATTTTTCTTTTTCGAAGTTATACTTTTCGATGTTCCCTCTTGTGGAATTACAAATTAGTACTCAAAAAGTTTTCATTTAACATTTGCTCCTTCTCTACTCTTCAACATTCTCTGACATAACCAA